TTCTTGCCCGCGACGACGTCGCCTGTCTTGACGTAGAGCGCGTCGATCTGCTTGATGAAAAGCTTCTTGACGTCGTTGCGCTTGATCTTGAACGTCGGCGTCATGAGGTCGTTCTCGACCGTGAACGGCTCCGGGTGCAGCAAAATGGCACGGACGCACTCAAAGCCGTTGAGAAGACCCTTCTTGCCGACCGTCACAATGTCCTTGAGCACGATCTCGTTGATCTTGGGGTTGGCGCACAGCTCTTGGAACGTCCCCGAGATGTTGAGCGACTTGGCGAGCGCTTCGATCTCGGCTTCTTCGGGCACAATGATACCCACAAGGACGGCGTGGAGCGAGTCGCCATACACAAACGGCTGGGCGACGTACACGCTGCTCTTGATGATGTTCTCAATCTTCTCGGGGGCCACGTACTCGCCCTGCGAGAGCTTGAAGATGTTCTTCTTGCGGTCGACAATCTTGAGGCGGCCATCGAGCGTCCAGACGCCAATGTCGCCCGAGTGGAGCCAGCCCTCGTCGTCGACCGCCTCCTGCGTCTTGGCATCGTCCTTGAAGTAGCCCGCAAAGATGGACGGACCGCGGTAGCACACCTCGCCGCGGCCGTTGACAGGCATGCGCGTCTCGTCGCTGTCACCGTGGACCGTGTCGGTGACGTTGTAGCCCATCTCGGGCACCGAGACCAGCTTTTGTTCGCAGCACGACATGGGCGCGCCGACCGTGCCGGGCGTGAGGTCGTTGATGTCGGTGATGTTGACGGCGCCCGTGCACTCGCTCTGCCCGTAGCCTTCGAGGACCGGGCACGAAAAGAGGCAGCGGAAGAAGCCCAAGACGTCGTCGGCGACCGGCGCCGAGCCCGTGACAATCGCCATGCAGCGGTCCAAGCCGAGCTTCTTCTGCACCTTGGAGAAGATGAGCTTGTCGAAGAGCGGGTGGGCTGTGTAGCCCTTCTCGAGGTTGGCGAGCTTGGTCGAGAGCGCATAGTTGAAGAGCCAGGCCTTGAAGCCGCCGCCGGCGTTGGCGCCGCCCACAATCTTGTCGTAAATCTTGTTGAGGAGACGGGGGACAGTGACAAAGAGCGTCGGGCGGAGCTCGGTCAGGTCTTCCATGAGCTTGAGCGTGTTGCCCTGGAAGAAGCCAATTGACGCGCCGTGGTGGATCATGACAGCGTGGATGAGCTGCTCGAGGATGTGCGGCAGCGGGAGGTACGAGAGGTGCACCGACTTGGGCGTAAAGACTTGGAGGAGCTTGCCCTTCCGAAGACGGTCTTCGATGCCCATCATGCAGCTCAGAATGTTCTGGCTCGTGAGCTTGACGCCCTTCGGGTCGCCCGTCGTGCCGCTCGTGTACATGAGGAAGCAGAGGTCCGTCGCCTTGGCGTACGTCGGCGCGATCGGGTGGGCCGCGCCGATGGCCTCGATGGCCGAGAGCGTCGTGACCGTGAGCCCGAGCGCCGCGCCGGCCGCGACATGTGCCTCGGACGCCACGTCAACGTCGCAGAGAATGACAACCTTGAGGGTCGCAATCGTGGCTTTGGCCGTGAGCACGCTCGGGAGCTCGCCCGTCGTGCAGACCACCGTGGGCGCTTCCGTCTGGTGGAGAATGTAAGTGGTCGAGGACGGGCCGAGCGAGTCGTAGAGGCAGCTCATGGCGCCGCCGCAGTAAAACGCTGCGTACTGCGCGAGGACCCACTCCGGGCGGTTCTTCATGTAGATGCACAGCATGCGGTCGCCGTTGGACGTGCGCTCGAGCATCTTCTCGTGCATGAGGCCGGCGGCGATGTTCTGGATGCGGAGGTACCCGGCCTCGTAGCTCTCCCAGACGTACGCGCCGACCTTGCCATTGGCGTCGACCAATCGGTGGCCAAGAAAGTTGCTCTTCGGGTTGTGCTGCACCGACTTTTGGAGCGCTTCGAGCATCGAGTCGCAAGCCGGCTTGGGGAACGGGCCGACGCGGTAGACGGCGCCGTGGCCGGGCTTGATGGTCGCGTTGTCGGGCTTGCAGAAAAACTGCGGGCGGTTGACCTTCTCGGTCGGGCGGAGGCAGAGGAGGTAGAGCGCCGAGAGGAGACCGAGCGTGAACGTCGAGAGCACGACGAGCACGGGCATCAAGATGGGCGTCGGCGCGACCAGCGACGCGTCCGCGTGAACCGGCGCCTCGATGCGCGACGTCAAGAAGCTCGTGAGCTTGGCGAGGTTGCGCTGGTCGTTGTACTCCTCGACGGCGGACGGGCCGCGGAAGAGCTTGAGCGTCGGGTAGCCCTTGATGTCGTGGCGCTGGCAGACGTCCGTGTGGGTGTCGCAGTCGACTTCAGCGACGACCACGTTCTCGAGCACGGAGAAGCCGGCGCTGAGCTCCTTCCAGGCCGGCGCCAGCGTCTTGCAGTGGCCACACCACGGCGCGTAGAACTAGCAGTGGCCATGAGCAACCTTGCGATCTGTCGACGCTATTCGTACCTTGACAAAGACGGCGTCCTTGGAGCCCTTGAGCGCCTCCAACTCCTGGCCGTTGGGCGTGGGCACCTTGTAGCTCTGGAGGAGGTTGCGGTCGACGGGAGGGATCTCGACGGCGAGGTAGGCCTGCGCCGAGAGCGCGGCCGCGAGGATCGCGTAAACAGCTCGCATGCTAAGGACACGAAAAGACGCCAAGTGACGTGTGGCAGTTGGCTGCGCCTCAAGGATGTCGAATGCGTCAACCGGTTGGGTCAACATTCGTCAACAAACCGCTCGGCTATGAACCGGTTAAGTTGCTGGAAATTTCCGAGTCGCAATCGAATGCTTTACTCTAAATAGTGTATTCTATTTAACTAGTGTGAAAATGGTCGGCACTGAACTTGGTCACCTGAGAAGCTGCGTGAAGGAGCTGCGTGAAGGACTGGCCACACACAAGTATGTGGCGGTGAAGAGTAAAGGTGAGATAAGCGCTGCCTTGCGGTCGGCGAATTTTCCGCGAAGCAAATACTCCTTGTTCGACGGCGCAAGTCCAGCATAACAGCTCACTCCAGTCACAGTACACTCTCCCCACCAGTACACGCTGATCCTCTCTATAAGTGGGGACATCCATGTTCGCAAACTACGACCACATACGTTGGAACAAGCTCTTCGTCAGCGCCGGCACAAAGCAATGGCTTGGCAACGTGCATCGAGTGGCCCTGGCTCCCCGTCGCTCGTGTCCCAGGCGGGATAACGCGTTGTGCGTTCGTGCGTGCAAGCGGCCGGTGTGGACGTCGGACTCGTTGTCCATCGCACGCAGGTGTCTCTTGGCCTTTGCTGACTAACTTAATTTACTAACCGCCCGACAAGTAATCGGTCCACGCAAGGACAAGTCACTGCCTGTCACGGGCGCTTGGGTGCTGGTACATGTACGCCATGTCCCGCCAAGGCCGGATGTCCATGTTTACTGTTAGTTAGTCGACCAACACCACACTGCAATACGCCACGGAAGGTAATCAATTGCGGCCAGCTTCTGTCAATTTATTTTAGTGTATTTGATGTTCACTTGATCCTTGTATATGTCACAATTAAAAAGCCGCCCGCCAGACGCATTTTTAGAACGCAGACTGAACCGAACGAGGAGGGGCAACGCGGCCTGCCGTCGACAGCGCGATGGCCAGCAACTGGGACGCGTGCATCCGAGGCGGTCGTACCATGCTCGCCGAATCTGCGTGGTGAGAGGTACCCAAAGCAGTCAAATTTGTGCGGGATATCATCGTCTTGCGCGGCGAGGACCGTCGGGCGTGTCCCACTGCCGCGGCCGCATGTCACCCCGCCTGTGCTGGAACGCCAGTGTGCAATCTCTCAGTTTCGTTTCCTGGTCACCACGGACGAGCGACCGATCAAGCGCCAGCGCAGAGCTTGATACCTACCCTCCACATCCTCCATCATGGGAACCTGCTCGTCAACACAAACGCCAGCGTACGTCGAGACGCCCGACCCGGCGGCGACGCGCTCGCAGCGCAGCATGGCCGAGTTCATCCAGTCCGAGAACAACCCGAACCGGTCGCGGGCGCCAACGTCGCTAACCAAGACGTCGTTCACCAACTCGCTCGTGCACTCGGGCTCGATCCGGTTCGACGACGTGCACCGCGACGACTACAAGGAGATGCTGGCCATGTACCCGCAGTTTTGGGTCGTGCCCGAGGACGTCGAGCGGACACGCGCGATCCCGAGCAACTACATGAAGACCGAAATGGGCCACTGCGACGCAACCGCCGTCTTTCTCAAGTCGCTCGACCTGAAGCGGTCGCCCGCCGAGATTGAGAAGAGCCGGAAGGCGCTGCTGAGCGAGATTCGTTCGATGGCGCGCATCGACCACCCGCACATTGTGTCGTTCATTGGCTTCAACATCACGCCCGAGTTTGGTCTCTCGTGCATCTTCGAGTTCATGGAAGGCCGGACGCTGCGCCACCTCCTCGACAACCCCAAGCAGTTTGCGCGCCTCACGTGGTCCAACGAGAAGATCAACATTGCTTGCGATATTGCGTCGGCGATGGCCTACATGCACGGGCTCAAGCCGCAGCTCCTGCACCGCAACATGAAGGCTTCCAAGGTCCTCTTGACGAACCGAAAGCAAGCCAAGCTCAGCGGCTTTGGCAGCTCCCGCGACCGAACGTTCGACTGCGACATGACCACGGGCGTCACCGACATTCAATGGAGCGCGCCGGAGCTTTTCATTGATGGCGAAGACTACGATGAAAAGGTCGACGTCTACTCGTTCGGCGTGCTCTTGACCGAGCTGGACACGGGCGCGATGCCATACGCGGTCGAAGCGGCGGGCATGACGCTCCCGGACCTCACGGTGAAGCTCGTCACCGGCGAATTGCGGCCGAGCGTGTCGGTGACGTGCCCCGAGGTCGTTGCCAAGATCATCAAGCAGTGTCTCCAGCACGACAAGGCGCTGCGGCCGACGAGCGACCGCGTGCTCGAAATGCTGCAGCACGCACGCGTCGAGCTCAAGGCCGAGCGGGACGCAAGGCTCGGGCTCGACGCTCTTCAATAGTCGTACAACAAACGCGCTTGCGTGAATATAAAGTTAACTAGTGTCGCCGTCGTCCTCTGTCCCAAAAGCTGCGATCCTGTTACGTCAAAGAGGGTAGGGCTACTAGCTGCATGCGCGATGCCGTAAGATCGTATTTGTTTATTGCTGCGGTGCGCGCGTCGCACCAAAGTGGTCGAGGTACTGGTGCACAGCGTGGCGCACCTGTTGCGAATGCTTCTCGAGCCGGTCGGCCCAGTGCGAGCTCATGGGCGTGGCGGCCGTCCACGCCGACGGCCGCAGTTTCTGAAAGTACTTGACCGTTGTCCCGCCTTCCGGGTTGGCCTCCATAAACGTCCACGAGAGCTCGTTGGCGTGTGGCGACGACGCGTCGTACGGCGCCAGTTCGTCGTCTTCGATGCTGCGGCAGATAATGATGCACTGGGCGCGGCCGTTCACCTCGCTCACGTACTGCTTGCAGAGCACGCGCCGCTGGAACTGCCCGAGCGGGTGGTCGAGCCAGCCAGAGGCGTACGTCGTATCCGCGTCAATGTCTTCGAGGTGCTTGCAGTAACGCGGCAGGTTCTGGATCGTGACCGTGCCCCGGAGCACGTTCCACGTCCCTTCCAGCAGCGCGTGCAGCGACAGCGGCGTGTGGCGGTGCAGAATCGTGTGGAACTCGAGGCTGTTGTTGTGCGTGTACTGGGACACATGCTTTTGAACTTCGTCGACGACGTCGACGAGCCCGGCTTCGACAAACGCGCTTTCGATCCGCGCGCGCTCACGGTCCAGCATTGCGTGCATCCCACGTACGCGAAGCGTCGGGTCGGCCACGAGCACGAGCTGTTCCCACTTCTTCTCGGCGGGCCCGCTGACGTACGCCATGGCCTTGGACTGCTGCCATGTCTTGTCGAGAAGCGACGCGAACGTCTGCACCGTGACCATGTGCTCCTGGACGCGCTCCTTGAGTTGCTTGTTCTCGACCGTCGCCTCGTGCCGCAGCCGCGCCTCGTTGGTCGCGAGCGCCTGCCACTTGGTGGGCGGCTGCAGAATGTCACGCAGCGCCTTGGTCTGCTGTAGCAGATGAAGCTTCTCTTCGAGTTCTTGCGCTGCGCGCTTGAGCTCGGCCTGCTCCTCGCGCTTCTTTTGCCTGTGGCGCCGAAGCGCTTCGCTCTGCTTGGACTTGGCCGTCGGTGCCGGCTCTTCGTCCGTCGTCGACACGAGGCTCGAGAGGAGGTCCGCCTCCTCTGGCGACCACTGCAGCGAGTAGTCCAAGCTCGAGAGGTCGAGCATCTCGAGCACGTAGGCTTCACCCGCGTTGGCGTCCATGCTTTCGATGTCGACGTGCGCAAATGAGCTGTCGGTCCACCCTTCTGTCTTGCCGTGTGTTGAGTAACCAATCGGTGTTGCGTCGTACCGCCTTTTTGACCAATCACGTGCGCGCATCTCCGCGCCAAAATTTACCGAGTCAACAGCGTTTGCAGCAGCCACTTGCGCCCACGCTAGGATACGTGGCGCAAGAGGGCGTCTCTCCAGCACACACTTAGTCAGTTGAACACATAGGGTTGGGTTATACAGCGACTAATGAACTAGTTGTCTACAGCTGGTGATACTCGTCGCGGGCGGTCCCGGCGGCAAAGTCGTCAATGTACTTGTGCACCGAGTGGCTGATCATGGCCGAGTGCTGTTCAAAGGTCTCGGCCCACTGCGGGTTCATGGGCGTCGCCGCTGTCCACTTGCTCGGTCGAAACTTTTGAAAAAACTTGACGTTCGTGCCGCCGTCCGGGTTGGCCTCCAGGAGGTTCCACGACACCTCGTTCGCGTGCGGCTGCGCCGGGTCGTACGGCGCGAGCTCGTCGTAGTCGATGCTGCGGCACACGATGACGACGCGCGACTCGTCACGGAACTGCTTCATGAGCGTCCGCCGCTGAAAGTGCCCGAGCGGGTGCACGAACCAGCCGTCGACGTAGATCGTCGTCGCATCGATGTCGACGAGGCCGTTGCAGTAGCGGTTGAAGCCCTTGATCGACGCGGTGCCCCGGAGCACGTTCCAGGAGCCGTCGAGCACGGTCTGCAGCGGCAGCGGCGTGTAGCGACAAACGATCGTGTGGAACTCGAGGCTGTTGGCGTGCGTGTACCGAGAAACGTGCTTCTGGACGCCAAAGGGCGCGTCAATGAGCCCGGCTTCGACGTACGCACTGTCCATGCGACCAAACTCGCGCTCGAGGATGAGGTTGATGGCTGCCGCGCGGAGGCTCGGGTCGGCCACGAGCACGAGCTGCTTCCACTTGTCGTTGGCGTTCTCGACGAGCGCCTTGACTTTGGACTGGTGCCACGTCTTCTCGAGGAGGTTGGCGAACGCCTGCGCGGTGGCCATGTGGTCTTGCACGAGCTCCTTGAGCTGCTTGTTTTCGAGCTTGGCCTGCTGCTCGAGCTTGGCTTCGTTTGTCGCGAGCGCCTGCCACTTGCTCGGCGGCTGCAGAATGTCCTGGACCGCCCGCGACTGCTGCAATTCGCGCAGCTTTGTCTCGAGCTCGAACGCGGCGCGCTTGAGCTCGTTGTGCTCCTCGCGCTTTTTCTTGCGGTGGCGCTTCATGGCCAGCGCCTGCCGCTTCTCGGACGGATGGGACGCCGAACTGGCGACCGAGCCGTTGATCGAGCTCGCATCTTCGTCGGGCGAGGCTTCGTGCGCGAGCGAGTCGAGCATGTCCCGCTCTTCCGATGACCAATGCAACGAGTACTCGAAGGACGACGGGTCCAGCATCCCGAGCACGAACGCTTCGCCCGACGTCGTCGGCCTGTCTTCCGCCATTATGGTCACTACGGGGCCAATCGCAGCGTTACGACCGCACTTTATTGGATTTTAGCCACTCATATGGCTTTCTTGGCGAATCTTTTGGCCAATCAAAACGATGGATTTGGACACGAACATGCGAGTCTTTGTCAGCGCTGAAGCAGAGCAGCAGAACTGCACAGAGCGTCTCGAGCTACGATACGCTTTTGCGTGTCGTCATTTGAGTCCCCGCTCGCAGCAGTTTCGACAATATATGCAGCTGCGTAGTCTTCACCCACTCTTTCCATAACGCTAGGTTAGTGAATTTAGAGCGCCGAGTGACCGTCGTTAAACTGAAGACTGACAAAGAATCTTATTGGCCTCTTGATGTTGGCGCACCTGACTTCGGGCCACTGCTCCAGTTCGCCCTCCGCATAAATTTCTCCAGTGGTACTCACGTCGATCGATGCTGGGACTTTGGTCGGCGACATCAGCCGCATCAAAAGCCACAACGATCTGTCAAACGTATCCTCGACGCATTTCTCAATAAGAGCTTACTCCTCTGCCCCGTACAATCAGTCTGAAGCTATGAGCGTGTGCTTCATCGGCGCCGACATTTGTCAACAAAATGGTGTGAAAATAGTACATGTTGATAATATTCGACTGGAGTGCAGACACGACATGAGCGTCTTGGCGACGTGACGTACATCGATGGTACCTTAGGCGGTGGAAGACGCGACTTGGTCAATGTATCGGCGGGCAGCGTGCCGCATGTTCTTCGAGTGCTCGTCGACTTGGCTGAGCCAGTGCGAACTCACGGGCGTTGCCGCCGACCACGTCGACGGGCGGAATTTCTGAAAGTACTTGACGTCCGTGCCGCCAGTTTTGTTGGCTTCGAGCGTGAGCCACGCGACCTCGACTGCATACGGCGTCGACGGGTCGTACGGGAGCAACTCGTCTTCGTGGATGCTGCGGCAGACCACGACGCAGCGCTCGTGACGTGGCACGCCCTCGTAGCCGTACACCTTGCAGAGAATGCGGCGTTGAAACTCGCCGAGCGGATGGTCAAACGTGCCAATGACATAGGTCGTGTCGGCGTCAATGGTCACGAGCTCCTTGCAGCGCCGGTTCAACTGCGCGATCGGCACACTCCCCCGCAGCACGTCGAGCGAAGCGAGCAAAACGCCGGGCAGCGGTTGGTCGACGTGTCGGCAGCCAATCGAGTGAAACTCCATCGCGTCGTGGTGGCCGTATTTCGCAATGTGTTTTTGGATGTCGCCCGTAGCGTCGACGAGGCTCGCTTCCACAAAGGCGCTGAAGAGCTTGGCGTGCTCGCGGTCGAGCATGTGATGGATGGCCGCAGTCCGGAGGCTCGGGTCCTGCACAAGGATGAGCTGCTTCCACTTCTCGGTGGGGTTGCCCAGGGCGTTCGTGGCGCCGGTGCGCTCCCGCGTCTTCTCGAGGAGGTTGGCGAGCGCCTGCGCCGTGACCATGTGCGCCTGCACGAGTTCCTTGAGCTGCTTGTTCTCGCTCTTGGCCGCGCCTTCACGCCGGGCTTCGTCGGATGCGAGCTGCTTCCACTTTGTAGGAGGCAGAAGCGGATTGACTTTGGCTTGCTGGAGTTGAAGCAGCTTGGCCTCGAGCTCGACGGCCGCGCGCTTGAGCTCTTCGCGTTCCTCGCGCTTCTTGAGCCGATGGCGCTGGAGGATCGTCTTGCGGTCGTCGTGCGGCTTGGGGCTATCGGCGCAGAGCAGGTCCAGCATCTCGCTCTCCTCCGCCGACCACTGCGTCGAGTAGTCGCACGTTGCCAGGTCGAGCATGTTGACCACCTCGGCTGCACATCGGTCCATCGTTTCGGAATGAACAATGGGCAGCCAATGGCATCGCGCACGCACGATCGGCCACGTCCTTTTTATCCAATCATATGGTGTCCACAGCTGGTCGCAGCACAAACTTCCGCCAAGTCGGGCAGAGCACGCGCTTCAGAGACTTGGTCACAGTGAAAATACAAGACGAGGTGCTTGCTCACGCGCTCGACCTGCTGCAGCGTGTACACAGCAGAGATTATGCCTACGATTCCAGCGACGAACCCGCCGATTACACCTCCAAAGCGTGTGAGCAATCAGCCGAGGCTGCGAATTCCGAGGTCAACGGGGGTGTCCCAAGCGACAAGTGGCCCCAGCAATGAAGACGAACGCTCGGTGCGACGCACTAATAATACTCGCTGGATTAGTAGTACATACTACGCACGAACTATCACGCAGTGATCTGCTTCGAAACCATGACGACAAAGGCACCCATTTGCGTGCGATTTCAATAGAAACTACGAATCGATCGCGACTGTTCTGCAGATTTATTGAAGTGCGCTTAAAGGGCGATAACGTTGTGAGATCTATATACGAAGGATGATGATGGCTTCGTTCTGCCCTCGGACCTCGTGGGCACAGAGCTTTCACACCAACCATTTGCCAGCCGAACTTGGTGTGCGAATTCATTGGGACGAAAGCAGATTTCTCAAATGCGTCGAAAGTCTAAATACGGGAAGTACACAGTACCACCTGTAACCACGTTATCGTACATGTATAACACTGCCATAACCTCCTGTGGGCAGAGTCGTCTCAATCGCTTGCTCCACCTATGCGGCGACAGCTCGCGGGGACTTGTCGACTGCTTTGCGTGGAACACGTACACGGGATGTGCGGACGCACTCGACAGCTTTTGGGTGGTCATGAGCTCTACTTACAAGCAGCCTGAGCGGCATGGAAGTGCATGCTCCTTACGAAAAGTCGAATTGGCGCCTTCGAATCTCACAGATGCGGATTTAGATCAACACTCTGTAGTCGAGCCGTCGAGCCAGTTTTAAACTCTGGATTTGTAAGAATGAAACATACACTCATTGCATGGACGATTCAACCAACACTGTGAACGGAGCTTGCAAAGCTGCTTGTGAAGTGGTTGCCAATCGTATGTATTCTCAATTTGAATGAAAGCCTAAGGTTTTACCATAACTGCATCTGAGACTCTGGCAGTGATGCGCGATCAGCAAACATCCTGCCTGCTAATTGCAGAGTCGATCATGTACTTAATCTCTGCGGCGGACTGCGACGCGTCGAGCTGAATGAACCACGAGGCGTATTTGCTGGCGCTCGACTTTTTGATGTCGATCTTGAGGCAGTTGTCGACGGATCGGCGGCAGTAAATGTACTCGCGCTTGCTGCACACGCCGAAATACGTTCCGTTGACCTAGCCAAGAGGCATGAGCTAGTGTTTCTCATGTATATTGTTGGTGCGTACGTAGAAGCACGGAACGACGGTACCGACGCGCAAGGGAGAAAAGATGCACTCGAGTTGGCTCGGCAGCGCCGTCGGCAGCTCGACGCGAGCGATGGACGCCAGCGGGATTGGTCCAGGGTACACAAAGACGGTCGCAAGCGTCTGCGCCAGCGTCAGCTCGAGGCAAAGGTCGGCTTCGGTGACGTGGAGGAGCATGGGAAAAGTAGAAATGAACGATTTGAGCTGGACGAAAAGCTATCGCACCGCACGTCGCAAGCATTCCTTCGACAACGAGCTATGTCCTTAGGGTTGGGGACCTCTGTCACACGATCACAGCATTGGCCGATGCAAGCATCCACAATCCGACACATTTGTGTCCACCGGTACTTCAATGCTTCAATACCGGTTGCGTTTTGCACCCAATACCAATCTGAATCTGAATACACGGAATTGTTCAAGCACGTTTGAGTTGAGCTCATAATGGCACGTCCGAGATGATACTTGCTGTTGGGGGCGGCTCGAGCTGGCGCATGTAGCCATGGACTGCGTCTTGGTACGCCTGGGTGCGCTTGGCGAGTGCGGTGACCCATGCGCCAGGAACAGTGCCACTGAGCGGGCGCTGCTTCTGAAAAAACTTGACCGTTGTTCCGCCTTTTCCGTTTGCTTCAAATAGCAGCCAGGATTTCTCCGTCAGGATCGGGCTCGACGCGTCAAACGGCATCGCGTCGTCGGCCTCGACGCTCTGACATACAATCGCGCACGTCGTCGGCGACGGTGCATAGCGCTTGCAGAGCACGCGGCGCTGGAAGTGGCCGACATCGGGCAAGTCCATCCAGCCTGTGACGTAGGTCACGCAGCTGTCGACTTCATCGACGCTGCGGCAAAGGTGGTCGAGGCTGTCGAGCACAAGCGCTCCTTGGTGCAGTCGCCAGCCGCCTTCGACCGCGGTGGTGAGGTCGTGCGGCGTATCGTGGTACACGATCGTGTGGAACTCGACGTCGCCCGTCGCCGTGCACTGGGCTGCATGGTGATGCGTCGTCTCGGTCGCGTCAATCAAGCGAGCTTCCACGAAGGCTCCCCAGAGCTTTCGGTAGGTCGCGTCGAGGATCGCGTGCATGACTGGGGCACGGCGGTCGGCTTCGGACGGAAGACAACGAGGCGATGTCAATGGGGTGTGAAGAGTGGGCTGCTCCAAGAGGCTCGACAAGGTCCTGGAGAGCGCCAAGTGCTGCTGCGCGAGGTGCCGCAACCGGTCGTTCTCCGCGTGGGCCTCGCGACAACGCACCTTCTCCGAGAGCATGAGGTTGTACCACGGCCCTGGTGGGTTCAAGAGATGTTGGATACTCTGACGCTCTCGCAGTGCGTGCAAGTGAAGCTGCAGCGCCTGCGTCTGCGTTCGGAGGTCGTGGAGCTGCGTCTTGCGCTTCGCCCGGTGCTTGCGCATCGTGAGCCGCCGCCGGGTCATGCGGTCGGCCTCCTCATCCGAGCTCGGCGTGGCGGGCAGCGCTACGGTGCATAGAAGCAGGTCGTCGTCCACGAAGCGCGGGTCTACGGGGCTGGCGACGGTCGACTTCATGATGCTGCGACGAAAATGGTCTGCCATCCATCTTGCAAGATGATGGAGAGCGCGCTGTCATTGGCTCGTTTCTACGCAATACACCAATGAGCCAGCGTTACGAAAGTATTTCAGCCTATCACACGTCATTTCACGTATCTGCAGCGTGGGGTCATCCGTTTATGCTACGGTGGCCGATGCCACTGGCCCAGAGCGTTGATTTCGACCGATGAGGTCCGACATGAGAGAAGTCGGATAACGTGGATGACGCTGATGACGCTGATGACGCTGCAGTATGTTGGCGCGGCTGTTGCGGCCTTTGCTTCCTCTTCGTGACCTAGTTGCCAAGAGCTGATTTATCATTTCTTATTGGCATGGATCGAACGCTGTAATTTCATAGTTTCTATGAAATTCTACGTTTTCAGTCAAAATGAGAACTACGTTTGTGCAGGAAACTACGAACAACAAATTAATAAGTTGAGTTACAATGCAAACGTCAACGGAGCCGGGTCGTGGACATTCTCGCCGTGTCGAAAGATGTACCGCCGGACCGCGTCGCGCATCGCTTGGGCGCCGTCTTCGAACGTCCTGACCCAGTGCGCACTCAATGGCATCGCTTCAGTCCACGCTGAGGGTCGGAATTTCTCAAAGAACTTCATGTGCACGCTGCCGTCAAGCATGGGCTCGATCGCGAGCCACGACACCTCCTTCGAGTACGGCGGCTCGGCCGTATACGGCGCGAGCTCGTCGTCGTCGATGCTCCGACACACAATGTAGCACATCGTGCCGCCGGCGCTAGGCGCGAAGAAGCGCTTGACAACGACACAGCGCTGAAAGTTGCCGAGCGGATGGTCCAGCCGCCCGCGGACGTACTTGGTATTCACATCCACGGTCGTGACCTCGTCGCTGTACCGGTTCAAGCCCAGAACCGTGTTGACGGTGCCGAGGATCACGCTCCAGATGCTGTCGAGGACGGACGCAAACGGTAGGTTCGCGCGGCTGTAGACAATCGTGTGAAACTCAAGGGTGCCCGCGTGCGAGTACTTGGAGACATGGCGCTGGATCTCGCAATCCGGGTCGACGTCGATGAGACCGGCTTCGACGAACGCGCTCTCAAGAAGGCTAAACTCGCGGTCGAGTATGGCGTGTACGCCATGCACGCGCAGCGCTGGGTCCGCCACGAGCACGAGTTGCTTCCACTTGTCCTCGGCCGAGTGCAAGAACGAGATGCTCTGCGCCTGCTGTCGCGTCTTCTCGAGTACGTTCGATAGTATCTGCGCCGTGATCATGTGGTCTTGGACAAGCTCCCTTAGCTGGTGGTTCTCGGCCTGTGCCTTTTGTTCGAGCCGGCGCTCTTTGACTGCGAGGGACTGCCACTTGGTCGGCGGATGCAACGCGTCCTTCAACGACTTGGCATATTGCAGCCGCAAGAGGCGCTCTTCAAGCTCTTTGGCTGCGCGCCGAAGCTCATCGACCTCTTGGCGCTTCTTGGTCCGGTACCGCTTGAGGGTCAAGTAGTTCTTGCTGTGCTGGCGCGGCGGCGCGGGCTCCTCGGGCGACGGGGGCGATGGCTTGCTCGAGAGAAGGGCTTCGTAGACCTCGGCCTCTTCGGTCGACCATTGCAGCGAATAGTCGAACGTCGAGAGGTCAAGGAGGTCCGCGACGAACTCTTCGCTCGGGTTCATGCTGCCGCTGCCTTTTTATCCCGGTCCGACAGGCCAATGGCATGCCAGCTGGCTTGCTGTGGCCAATGGCATCGCCGCATCCCTACCATTTCAACCAATCGTGTGCGTCAACGGCGCGCGCTGTCTTGAACTGCTTGCAGTCACCACTGACAGAGCCAGCGAGCGACCAAGATCAGCTATCTGTGTAAAGAAAACACAACGACCAAACGACTATGGGTGTGCCACGTATCTGGGCGCTCAACATCGCACGGAGTGTGTTCTTTTACTACGATCAACCGCAGCTGCAATGAGAATGGACAATGTTGAGTTATCACGAGTTGCTCGTCCCACACGGCACGGTACGGGTCTCGATGTGGTCGTGGATGGCTTGGTGCAAGTCAAGTGCGCCCTTCTCGAGGGCTTCGGGCCACTGCACTGTCGCCAACATGTCGGCGGTCCAATGCGACGGCCGAAACTTTTGGAAGACCTTGACGTCCGTGCCGCCGTCCATTCTCGCGTCAAACTGCACCCAAATGACCTCGATCGCATACGGCAAGCTCGGGTCGTACGGCGCGTCTTCGTCCAGATCGATGCTGCGCACAATCAAGGTGCTGCGCTTCTCGCCGGGAAACCGCTTGCAGAGCGCGCGCCGCTGGAACCGGCCAAGCGGATGGTTGAGCCAGCCAACCACATACGACGTATTGGCATCGATGGCCGTGGCCGATAGCGTTTGGTGCGGGAGGCTGGGAAAAAACATGGACGCACCCAGCGACACGTCCCAGCATCGCTCGAGGGCGACAGAGACGGGCAGCCCGAGGTGCCGGTGCACGACGACGTGGAACTCGTGGCCGCCCGAGACGCTCAGTTTGGAGATGTGCTTCTGAAACTCGTCCTTCGCGTCCGTGAGCCCTGCCTCAATGAACACGCTCGCAAGCTTGCCACATTCACGGTCCATGATCCCGTGGATACCCGCACGACGCAGGTCTGGGTCAGCCACAAGCACGAGCTGCTGCCAGCGCATTTCTGGCGCCGGGTTGAGCGTCAGTGCAAGCTCGTGCGTCTTGTCGAGCATGCTGCCGAGCGTCTGCACCGTCACCAAGTGCGCTTGGACGAGCTCCTTGAGCTGCTTGTTCTCAATGTGCGCGGCGGCCGTGTCCATCTTGAGCTGCACCGCGATTTTCTGCCACCTGCCCGGCGGACTGAGGACGTCGCGAAGCTGCTTGGCCTCGGACAGCTGCATTAAGCGCACCTCTAGTTCCTGTGCCGCGCGCTTGAGCTCGAGGAACTCGGTGCGCTTCTTCTTACGATATCGCTTGAGGACGATGCTGTGGCTGCTGGGCTTGGGCGTGGCGGCGTCATCGCTCGAGTTGTCGTGGAGAAGTCCATCGAGAATGGCGCTCTCTTCAGCAGACCACTCGACTGAGTACTGATAGCAGCCAACGTCGAACAGCTCCATGCCAATCTCTTCCATGTCGATTTGGTGGTGTCGTCGAAAACGACAAATGCAAACTGAGTTTTGCTTCTTATTTCAGATCCAGTGTTTTGATTCGGCCAAATCAGAGCCAGCCAATCAGAGACGCGCGTCGATTACACAACACACTGGACCACGTCATCATGTCCATGGGATCCAGCGCATGATCTCAACACGGCTTGCTACGATTAGACTACGCCTGGTTTCTCTCACTTGACATTATTTCACGCGCCGACTAGCTCGTGTTTGCCATGCAAAAATGCAGCGTACCTGTTTCCTCCAGGTGTTGTTGGAAGTCCTTTTGGCTTCGGCTTTCCGTTTCTGCAGTTGGCGCCTGGCAAAGCTTGCGGGATCACTGTGCGTTAAAATATTGCTAGATTTCGTCACGTGTACAGTCCGACGTGAAGCTTCATGAAGGTCATTTCTTCTACGGCTTGATGTCGTCGCAAATTTCGGGTTGGGCGTGGCCTTGTGCCCTGCCATACTCGTCAATGTACTGGTTCACTGCGCGGCGCATCATGTGCGACGCCTGCTCCAGTGTCTTCTCCCAGTGCGCCGTCAGCGTCGTCGTCCACTGCGATGGCCGGAATTTCTGAAAGTACTTGAAGTCGGCGCCGTCGTCGTTGGCTTCAAGCAGGTGCCACGACACTTCATTCGAGTACGGCGTCGACGGATCGTACGGCGACTGCTCGTCATCGCCGATGCTTCGACATACGATGATGCACTTGGTGGCTGTCTTTGCGTCCTGCGTGTCGTAGTAGCGCTTGCAGAGCACGCGTCGCTGGAATTTTCCCAGCGGGTGGTCAAACCACCCCGTGACGTACGACGTGTCAGCGTCAATGTCGATGAGCTCTTTGCACGACCGGTTCATGTTGGGGATGCCGCCGGCCGTGCCGCGGATGACGTTCCACGTGCCTTCGACGACGCAGCGCAGCTGGAGACGCGTCCGCCGATGCACGATCGTATGGAACTCGTGGGCGCTGTGGTGGTGGAACTTGGCGATATGCTTTTGAAACTCGTCGTTGACGTCGATGAGGCCGGCCTCAATGTAGGCCGAGTGGAAACGGAGGTGCTCACGGTCGAGGATCTGGTGCATGGCGAGCGTCCGCAGAGTCGGTTCGACCACGAGGACGAGCTGCTTCCACTTGTCTTCGGGGGCATCGAGGAACGCAATGGACTGCGTCTGGTCGTACGTCTTCTCGAGCACGTTGGCAAAGATCTGCGCCGTTATCATGTGGTTCTGGACGAGCTCGCGTAGCTGCTGGTTCTCGGTCCGCGCCGCCTTTTCCATTTGGCGCTCGCTCACTGCGAGCTGCTGCCACTTACTTGGCGGCCGCAGCAAGTCCTTCTTGGCCTTGGCTTTCTGCAGCTGCCGCAGCCTGTCCTCGAGCTCGGCCGCCGCTTGCCGCAGCTGCTGCATCTCGTTGCGCTTCCGCTTGCGGTACTCCTGCAGCGCGAGGTTGTGCTTGAGGCGCGCGGGGTGGGCCGGCGTCGCCGCTTCCGGGGACGAGTCGCTGCGCGGGAGCAGAAGCGTGCTGAGGATCTCGCTCTCGTCGCGCGACCACTGCACTGAGTAGTCGAAGCTAGACGGGTCAAGCGTCCCGGCAACGAACGCTTCGTTCGGGTTCATGCGGCCTTTCTCCGACTTGTCGCCAATGTTCGACACCAGGTCGACGTAGAGGTGAACCAATCACAAGCATTGGTGGGCGTGCGCAGCCAATCACACGCGAAGCTCGCCATGATTTTAGCCAATGGAGGCCACAGTAGCGGCTGCGCAAGCGACCAACTGAATCGCCAGCATCGAGCGCGATGCCACGTCAAGCGTGCGCTTGGCCGTTCAGCCAAGTGCCAACTCGCGTCATAGATGAAGGCAATTAGACATGCCCGTAGGCAGCTGCTTGCAGGTGGACCGGTCACCATCACAGGTGCTTTGGATCATTGCAGAAAACTACTTCAAATTGAACTTGCTCTAGTGCGAATATCAACTAAGTCTCACGCCCCTATCTCCTTGACCTCTACGGCCTCGAGCCGATACCCGTCAATGTACTGGTTCACAGCGCGGCGCATCACGTGCGATGCCTGCTCCAGTGTCTTCTCCCAGTGCGCCGTCAGCGTCGTTGTCCACTGCGATGGCCGGAATTTCTGAAAGTACTTGAAGTCGGCGCCGTCGTCGTTGGCTTCAAGCAGGTGCCATGACACTTCGTTCGAGTACGGCGTCGACGGATCGTACGGCGACTGCTCGTCATCGTCGATGCTTCGGCATACGATGATGCACTTGGTCGCTGTCTTTGCGTCCTGCGTGTCGTAGTAGCGCTTGCAGAGCACGCGTCGCTGGAATTTTCCCAGCGGGTGGTCAAACCACCCCGTGACGTACGACGTGTCAGCGTCAATGTCGATGAGCTCTTTGCACGACCGGTTCATGTTGGGGATGCCGCCGGCCGTGCCGCGGATGACGTTCCACGTGCCTTCGACGACGCAGCGCAGCTGGAGACGCGTCCGCCGATGCACGATCGTATGGAACTCGTGGGCGCTGTGGTGGTGGAACTTGGCGATATGCTTTTGAAACTCGTCGTTGACGTCGATGAGCCGCGCTTCGATGAACGCGTCTTGGCACCGGAAATTCTCGCGGTCGAGGATCTGGTGCATGGCGCGGAGCCGCAGCGCCGGGTTCGTGACGAGGATGAGCTGTTGCCACTTGTCGTTTGGCGCGTCAAGAAAGGCTGCGGACTGCGTCTGCTCCCAAGTCTTTTCGAGCACGTGCGCAAACATTTGGGCGGTGATCATGTGCTCCTTCACGAGCTTGCGCAGGTTCTCGTTCTCGGCCCACGCCTGCTTCTCGAGCTGCCGCTCGTTCACCGCGAGTTGCTGCCACTTGGTCGGCGGGTGGAGCGAGTCGGACGCGGCCTTGGCCGTCTGCAGCTGCAAGAGGCGGAGCTCGAGCTCACTCGCGGCCTCCTTGAGCTGCTGCATCTCGTCGCGCTTCTTTTTGCGGTACCGCTTGAGCGCAAGGTTGTGCTTGACCTTGGATGGCGGCAAGGACGACGCGTGCTCATCGGCCGACTGCGGCGACGACTTGTCGACGGGCTGTAGCAGCGTCTCGAGGATCTCGGTCTCCTGCGACGACCACTGCACCGAGTAGTCGAAGCTCGAGAGGTCGAGCAGGTCCACGAAGAAGGCCTCGCTTGGGTTCATGGTTGACAACCAAATCCAAAATGGCGCTTCGCCGCCAAAGGACAATGCGATATGAAATCGGTTTAGCTAATCAGAGGCGTGTATCAAGGTCAGATGGTCGAAGAGTGGTCTGCAGCGCGCAGCGGCCCTGCGGCGACCGAGCTTTGCGTCGTAGGCTGATGACGATAGGCTTACCGTACTTGCCAACAAGTTATAACGCCGCGTGCTGCGACGCTTCAGCTTCGTACTCGAGCTGGTCGAAGCGACGCGGCCATTCGGGATGCTGTGACACCAAGGCCGAGAGCAATGGCCGAGCGATCTTTCACGAGCGTCCACGGAGACCTTGACGCCACCCACCATCTTTTATGCGCTTCTCATTCAACAATTTTACTCTACTAGTAGCACTGAGAACATACCCCAGCGAACAGGTCTAGGTGCACGCTAGATCTCGTTACTAGTAGCTCTAGTCGTTGTGGCTACCGAAGGTAATTTCGTCAGAAAAAGAGAGAGCAATCAACTGCGAAGCCTTGTTGTATCATGAGCTGTGGCAACGCCGCATCTGCTCGACTGCGACACGCTATCACCTACCTGAAAGGGCAACGACACGTCCACATGCTTCATTGCGTCGTGGTCGGATGTGAGCGCCTTATTTCAAGTCGACTAGCGCATCGATGCAAATAACAAGTACAAGGTCATATTAGATAGAGGCACTACACAGCAGCTTGCAGCTGGGCTTGGCCATACTGCTCGATGTAGTCGTGGATCGCATTGCCGATCATCTTGGAGTGCTTGGAGAGCGTATCGACCCAGTAGTCGCTCGGCGGGCCCTCGACCTTCCACGACGACGGCCGGATACGCTGAAAGTACTTGACACGCGTGCTCCCGCTCGGCTCGGCCTCGAGGACGAGCCACGAGACTTCGTTTGTCGCTTCGCTCGCGGCGTCGTACGGGTATAGCTCGTCCTGCTCGAGGCTCCGACAGACCATGACGCAGCGTGTTGCGTCTGCGCCGCTGTAGGTATAATAGCGCTTGCAGAGCACGCGCCGCTGGTACTTGCCCATGGGGTGGTTGCGCCAGCCCGTGACGTACGACGTGTTGGCATCGACATCCTCGACACGCTTGGCCTCTTGGTCGAGGTGCTTGACTGAGACCGCGCCACGCATGACCTGCCACGAGGCCTCGGCGACCGACGTAAGGGTGATGGGTGCGGCACGGCACACGATCGTGTGCAGCTCAAAGACGCCGAGATGGAACTTGCTCGTGTGTCGCTGGATCTCGGTCGTCGCGTCAATGAGTCCCGCTTCGATGAACGCGCTGTCGACGAGTTCAAACTGCCGATCGCAAATGTTGTGCATCGCAGCCTTGCGCGTTGCAGCGTCCGCCACGAGCACGAGCTGCTTCCACTTGTCGGTGAGCGAGCCCGCCATGACCGTCGGCTGCTCGGGCTTCTTCTCGATGAGGTTCGTAAACGTCTGCGCGATCTCCATGTGCTCCTTGATCATCTCCTTGAGGTGCTTGTTCTCGAGCCGCGCCTTTTGCTCGAGGCGGATCTCCTCCGCGGCCAGCTTGTGCCACTTGCTCGGCGGGTTGAGGATGTCTTGGAGCGCCTTGGACTGCTGCAGTCGCTGCAACGTCGCCTCAAGATCGACGGCCGCGCGCTTGAGCTCTTCGTGCTCGGCCTGGCGCTTCTTGCGGTGACGCTGCAAAGCTAAGTTCTGCTTCTTGCGCGAGTCGGACGACGGCGACGACGCGGTCGAGGACGGCGGCTGGGCGCCAGGAAAGAGGTTGTGGAGCATGGACTGCTCTTCGTGGCTCCACTCGACCTTGAAGTCGGCGCTCGTGACGTCGAACATGCTCGAGATGAAGGCTTCGCTCGGATTCATCGCGTTAGCAGCGCCCAAGTTACAACCTACGAGCCACCACCGCGACTATCACGACCTGATGTATTTTCGTAAACCCGCCACGTCCATCCTTCAAATAGTGTGTTCGAGTTTGGATTGGCCAATGCTCCAATGATTTCTTGCCTTTGATTGGTTGTTTCCAAATTCCTTGCGCGGATTGGTGAATGCAAACGTTAAATAGCGTGAGATGGTGCGACAAGGTTGGACTGGTGGCACCAATGAGTTTGCCGCGGAATTCGCACAAGATGTACCTCGGACTGCGCCGACGTCACGCGGAACATTGCAGAACGTACTACATGTGGCAATTTTGTGTACTATCGGAGCGAATTCCATGGGGTCGTGCGACATCCGCGGTTCCTTTCGAAGCACTCAGAACCACAACCCACTCCATTGTGCTTCCCAGAGAATACGCAATTTTGTCCAACATGAGAGTACGTGCACGACGCATCGCGAGTTCCTTTATACTAACATAGAAAGGGCTAGCAGACAATTGGTGCATTTTTGTCAACTTGTCACCTGCTGCACGCAGTTATGATGAGAAATCACCCCCCGACGCCGTCACCCTTTTCTCACCGACCGCAAACGATCAGTCAAACGGGACGCTTTCAGAACGCTGTTTGCCGAGTGTCGTCGTTTGCATCAACCGATGTGATAGTGCTCGAAGGAATGTAATATTAATAGTACAATAATAGTGTGCATCGGTGATTTAGTGCGAGTCGATGTACTGGCGGATCGCGATACCGACGTCGTCGGTCTCTTGCGTGAAGCGCTCTAGCCAGCTCTTGGTCAAGACGATTCCTGCGTTGCGCGCCTGGTTGGCTTTGTGAAAGTACTTGATAACGGTGCTCTTTGGCGCCGCCTCGTCCGGCTCGATCGTGAGCCACGACACTTCGTCCAAAATATTGTTGAGGTCCGTCGCCTGCACGGCATCGTCGTGGAGGATGCTGCGGCACACGACCACGTACTTGGGTCCTTGCTCGTAGCGCTTGCAGAGGAGCCGGCGGTCGAACCGGCCTTGGGCGTGGTCGCGCGACCCCATGATGTAGCTGACGCTCGGATCGACAGCTGTGTGGCTGTTGTAGAGCTGCTTTAAGAGCGGATCCTTGGACACGGCGGCGCCAGTGAGGCACTGCCACACCGACTCGGTCACCGACGCGACGCTTTGCGTGAACCGGCCGGTCAGGATCGTTTGCACCTGCACTGCGTGGTTGACGTGCTTGTACTCGTGCTTGTGGAGCTCGGGCACTGGCGACTCGAGCAAGCCGGCCTGCAGAAAGGCGCTCTGGAGCTGGTCCAGTTCGCGGTCGCAAATGTGATGGTACGCTGCCTTGCGCAGCTCCGGGTCCGCGACGAGGCGCAGGTACTGCCATTGGTCCTCGGGCTGCGCCGAGACAGTGGCGTTCGAGACCGCGGGCACGGCCTGCACTGCGCGCACGAGTGTGTCGGTAAATTGCATTTGCTGCTCGACCGCGTCGCGCAGCGCTTTGTTCTCGAGCATGGCCTTGGCGCGGCGCTTGCGCTCGTTCGACGCGTGCTGGCGCCACTTGGAGCCGGGGTGCAGCATCGACTGCAGTGTGTGTTTGTGCTTCATGTCGGCGAG